GGTTCTGTAAGAATGATTTCTTTGTTTTGATTTTGATAAATTATTGACACGTAGCGTCTTGTTCTATCTACCAGGATAACATCCAGTAGAAGATTGTGATTGGGATTCGTTGTTGTTGCATTGCTATTTGATTTATTTTCCGCTATTGTAATTGGGTTTTGTTTGGACATTATTACTTGTTACGTGTTTGACACGTGGTTGTTTGGATTTGAGCTGTTGTTTGTTGTGACGTATGGTTTGGTATATATATTTTTTATTGTACTGGATTTATTTTTCTATAAGATTAAAATAAAGCATTATTTCAATTTAGTAAAAAATCTATTTTATTATTAATTTTTTTGAAAAGATATTTAAGCAAATTTATTTTTTTATAATAAAATAGTTAATAATTAATTAAATTATATGAATAATGGAATTATAAATTGATATCAAAATAGTATTGGCTTATAATAAATTTAATATCAACTTGATACTAAAATAGCATTTGTTAAAAATCTTAATAGATAACACAATAGTTTTAATATTAAGAATTCTATCATATATAAATTTGAAAAAACTCGTTAATAAGTATTTTATTATAAAAGAGTGATTTGATTTTAATATAATATTATATTGCATTTTGTATTATTGTTACTTATAAGTAAATTAATAAATACATGCTATATTTAGTAGTCTAATCAAATTTTTTAATTTTTAATAAATTTTTTATTTCAAATATTTTAAAATTTTTTTATATAGTACAATAATTTTTATAATTGTATGCTCATAAAATTTTTCTATACGATTTTTTTTTTAGAATATTTGATAAAATTCGAAATGTCCAAACATTAATATTTGAAATCGATAAAAAATCAAATAAAATAACAAATTTGATTAAAATTATATATCGCATATTAGAATCGTATCAATGTTAGAAAATCTTATTTTTATTTAAGAATACCAATAATAATAATTAATTTAGTAAGGTGGGTTTTATGTTTTTAATGATATTTTTAAATTGTTCTTAAAATATAATTAAAAAAATTTTTTTTTCGATTAAGTTAAATACATAATTTTTGTATACCATATATTTAATTACGTATTTCTTTTTGTATTTAAATTTTGATTTACTATTTTTGATATTCGAATATCATAGTTTTCGGGAAGTATCAAAAACGTAAACTCAATTATCATTTCCGCCTGCCTTTTTGCTATTTTTGGTTTGATTGATATGTTTTAAATTACCAGTACTTATACAGAATAAATGTTGTGGCGATCTTGTTACACCTTGGCTAAAAATTTGGTCGAATGACAATTTTATGCATGCGAAACAATTTTATGCATGCGAATTGAATTCTTTTTTTTTTTAAAAAAAAATAACGTGATTTATAATTTTTAGTGCTTTGTGAAATTTGAACTTTATGCTTGTCATAAGTAAAACATGAAAGCGATTAATGAGGAGGTTTGTACGTCGATTATTCACGATACAAGTCATAACCCCAGCTCGCTTCTTTTGATGAAGCTTAGACAATGGGAGAAATAATTATCTTCATGTTCCAAACATCGAAATGGATCAACGAATTTACTGTCGATTGAACTTCGACACCAAGAGCATTCACACAGATATTTGCTATCATGATAATTATTGCTTTATTAAATATACAAGTAGTTTTAAACAAAATCCATTGGTAATAAACTCATGCTGGTTTAATGAAACCTTCAAAATTAGCGACAACATGCGTATTTCTTTGGAGGATCAAAGTGAAAAAAGAGCGGCAACAATGGAAAAGAAGAACAATCCACCAAACGAACAATAAGTACAGTACCTATCCATAGGATCATAATGACGGGCCAGTGGAAGCATGCCGTGTAAAATTACGTAAAGCAGAACCCCTACAACTATAGAGAAAAGGAACCCCGAGATAGCATTGTTCCATACCGTGACAAAGATGACATAACCTAGAATGGCACCCAACATTTGCGAGATCACGCCTACTGACGCAGCGATAGTGCAAGCTTTCCATCGTGATCCCGTGGCGTAGTATATTGGTAAAGAGATGATAAGGCCTTCTGGAATTTTACTACAAAACATCAGTTCGTTGATTAATCATAAATAATGATAGGTTGGTTGAAGAACAATCAAAGAAAAGGAAGGTATTTACTGTAAAGAGAGTGCAATTGCGTATATGATTCCAATCTTTGGAGAGAGGATTGCCGTTGCAAACGTGGATAACCCTTCGGGAAAATTGCTTGAAAGAATTGAGGGAGAGGTTTATAAGACGTTTTTTTTTTTAAGAAAAAAAAAAATATCAAGATATTAAGAAACTTACTGAATGGCTAAAGCGACAGCAATTTGTATACCCAAGCTTCTGAGCCTGTGAGAGTCAAGAGGTCTGACTACAGGCATAGAATTCTCTTCTAATTTTGCATCTCCGTTGATTTTTCCCACTTCATCAATTTTTTCACCCTCATTAATGTATCTTTCACCTTCCGGCATCCGATTGACATTTCCTTCAACCTCTGGCGGGCAATGTGAGTGGGAACCACCAAATATAGATTTTGCAATCATTAATACTAATACCGTTACGACAAAGACAGATGCAGCCACGATATTTGCGTATTTTGGATCAAAGAGTCCAGACGTTTGAAACGACTCGACCGCTTCAGGGTAAAGATCGCCTAGCGTCAAAAATAGTAATATTCCCGCAGAAAATGATAATGAGGCCGCAAGAAAACCCTTTGAATGACAAATACGAAAATCTCTCATCCCCGGGATATATGGAAACAGGAGGTCAAGCATTGGTGTAAATGATCCCAGCGCGGACGCTATTGCAGCCATAGCCGAAAGTCCAAACCCGAGAGAAATATATCCTCTAGCAAGGGTTGAATGGTCATTAGCATAGACAGACGGCGGTGGAGGAAATTGATCAGATGTTGTCCCATGGGCTTCCGTACTGACTACAATTAATGAGATGATGGTCACCGATAAAATTCTCAAATTCTCGTTTATCTTTCGTAGCATCATGATTTGCACAAAATTGTGAGAACAATGCTAGTGTATTTATTGAATTTCTAGAAAATGATGGTACACAAACACGCATGTGTATGCATAGCTGATTATGCTGATAAACTTAGTCTTCCTGCACCATTCGTAGTTTGTCACTAAGATCAGCATAATCCAATGGCCCGTTATGGTTAAAGTAACAGTAAAGGATGGGAAAATCGGTAATTAAATATTTATGTCAGATTATCAAAGAAAAAAAAACCTTATCATGCGGGAAGATTGTACTCGTCGTCAATAAATACACCTGTCTGGAGATGAAGTTACTCATTGCGATTTCTTGTTTGAATAGTAAATTTAATTCACCATGAGATTCGTTAATTTCCTTCTTACCATACTACTTACTGTTAATGTAATAAATGCGCACATGCATGTTAATTACCCTCCTCCAAGAGGTTATGATAATGGTCTGGTTGGAGCTTATCCATGTGGCGGTTTGAGTTCGATCAACGCGTCCACAATTACAACCTTCCCTCTAAGTAAGTATTAGAAAACAGTATTGTCGATATGCACGAAATTCTTTGTCGCAACATGTAGCAACGCAACTAATTTTCCGTCATACGCGATAGCGAAGGGTAATGTCTCACTTAGATTCGGAGATGGAGATGGAACGCTTACTTTATACTTCGCCAATAATTCAAATGGCACCTTCATCCAAGTGTCAGGTAAGAAGCCTCTATTCACAAATTCAAAAATTTCATATGAATTATTCAACTTCATCTTCATTGTTCTCGTTTTTACAGATAACGAAACGCTTAGTGTTCCTGCCGGCGGGCAAAACGTGACTGTCAAACCCGATTTAAGCAAGGCCAATGCTACAGTTGGAACCTTGGGTGTTCTTCAAGCTGTCTTTGCTCGTGCCAATAATAACGGTAGTTGGTATGCGTGCTCCGATATTAGTGTAATCAGTGATGATTCCCTGGATAAGAAAAGTGGTGGAATTCCTTTTGCTGTCCCACAGAGTGGTGTGATTTTTGTTTACATTATTATTGTTTTGATAGCACCTTTAATGATTTAATAATGTTTAGATTAAAAAAAAAAAAAAAACGATTGTTTGTAACTTGTTGATTTTTGTGTTATGTATCAATAAATAATTATTCACATATGGAAATGTGATCAAAAATTTCGGTCTTTCGATTCTAAAGTTATTCCTCATTTAACAATCGATTCTTACGTGATTACCGATTCCTACCATAAAAGGAGTTGGATATTCGAATATCTTTTTTTTTGCCTTTAATTATGCATAAACATTGTGAAACGCGATACAACATCTACTGTATATAACCGTAACTTTAAAATTTCTGAGATAGGCTTACCCTTCTAAAAATGAAAAATTCCGTTTTTCTCATTTTCCTTTTGCTCGTGTTTTCTTTTGATATTGTAAATGCGCATTATACACTAGTAGAACCTCCAGCAAGAGGTACTGTTGAAGTCCAAGAACCGAATCCTCCATGTGGTGGTTTTAATGCGGTCAACAGTGCCAAAATTACCAATTTTCCTGTTTGTGCGCATCATCAGGCATTGTCTGTTATTTTTTTTTTTTCTTTCATCCGAATTAAATTACTTATCCCTTTCTACTGTAATAGCACATGGTCAAGCCACAGCTAACTTTGAAGATGGTGATGGCACTCTTATTTATTATTTCTCCAGTTCTTCAAACGTTACAAACGCCACCAGTTTTATTCAAGTATCAGGTAATTACTGTACATCCACGACTATTAAAACCTTTCTCAAATGGATGCTAACTTGTCTTCACAACAAAGACCCTCAAAGTCTTACGATTCCTAATAGTGGTAAACAAGTAACCACACTGATTGACCTATCTAGGGCCAAGGCGGTTATTGGAACCAGTGGTGTTCTTCAATCCGTTTTTAACACATCCACCGAGACTTGGTATCAATGTGCTGATATCAAGATATCTGGAGCTATTAACATGTCACCATGTACCGACGGAATACTTCTCTTAATCGGCTTGGTCTCCGTCCTCACCTACTTTATCTAATGCCGAATTTCATGCGCTTCTATTTAAAGCAATCTGTAACATTATATAAAAATGTAATACAATTACGTAATAAAGGTTTGGAAAATGAATTGTTTCGTTTTTGGTAGCAGCTTCTTGTTTTTTAATAGTTTTTAGTAAATGTTATTCCATAGTAAGTTTATCTTATATATACGGTATAAAAAAAAAACAATCTTTGTTGAAATGACATGAACACGTGATTGCGAATAACAACTTTTACCAAAGAAAAAATACGAGCATGTATTCAAACATTATCTCAAGCAAACAGCTGTTACTGTATTGATTGCATAACGTATCGTGTTTGTTGAATTTGTTTTTAAAAAAAATAATTAAGTAATGGTAAGTAGTAATTTTTTTGGAATTTTCCATTTACTCGATTTTTCAAAAAAAAACCATTGCACAATAAAAATATTAAAACAGGAATCCAACTTTGGAAATCGATAGATTATATTCTAAATGCACATCTACACTATATTTACAGTATATATAATACACACGTAATTAAAAGTAAAATGGCAAACAGAAAAAACTTTAAAGAATAATACTGGATTTCACCAATTGACAAATTAACACAAAGGTTTTCACGTTTTATTATAAAGTAATCCAATAACTTATTGTAATTTGAAAATATATCTTTCAAAAAACCTGTCAAATATACAATAATTTAATAAAATTGAAATAATAATAATAATAATAATAATTTTTTTACAATCGATTGTGATTTTTTTAATTAAAAATTACTAATAGAATAATGGAAAGTATTATTTATTTTAAGTATCTTTTTAAAAAAATTTATCTAAATCTAATAGTTATAAATTAAATTAATTAATTAATCTGTTTATCAAATATAGAAATTTTTTTAATACTTTAATGAAATTAAATTGAAAATTAAATTCAAGATCTTTATATAATAATTTAAAATTTTAAATAAATACGTAATTAAAAAAAAATTTTTTTTAAAAAAACAACAACTGATGATTTTATACATTGATAATCTTTAGAATAAGAATTAAAATTGAAAATATTTATATAATTGAAATAACCAAAATTCTATATGTTTAAAATAATAGAAAAAAAATTTAAAAAGATAAAAATAAGTTATAAAAACTAATTACTATTTTTTTGAAGTTTTAAATTTTTTTAAAAAATAAAATATATACTTTTTTAATATATATATTTTTTTAATAATGTTTTTTTTTTTTTTTTGACTTTTTTGGACTTTTTTTTTTTTTAATGTTAAGGTGAGATATGTCTTATAATATTTATTAATAGTGTAATTATTATTATTATATAATTATTTTTAAGATATAAGATATATGAACAAAGTTAAACTATATACATATTAGTTATCACCTATTATTATATATATATTTCTAAATAAAAAACCTTTAAGCAAAGAAAAATTAAGAAATAAATCATCTACATAAAAAAATAAAATAAATTATATATAAAATTTGAGAAGCAAAATCATTATAATAAGTAAAAGAATATAAAAATATTGTAAGTTGAAAGAAAATAATTTTTTAATATAAAGTTACTATATACATTAAGTTCAAAATCAAGATTAATTACTTTTCAAAAGCTACATATAGTTAAAGAAATTGAAAATAAAAGATGTTGGAGTAGTTATATTATATGTTGAGTTTTGGATGAAATTATCTTTTGTATTAACAATTCCTCTCCCAAAACACAAACCAAATATATTTATTTAGATTACCACTTCCTTTTCAATAACTAAACGTGACTCTAGCAACAATAAAGGAATACTGGCTTAAGTTATCAAATTATAAGGTGCAATTCTTTGATATTTCATTTTTACTTATGAAAAAAGTGCTTTATTTTTATTCACATTGGTTAGATTTAAGCTATCTTTTTTTTTTAATAATAGTATTGCTGCTTATAAATCACAACTTTATTATTAATAATAATTATGAAAAGTTAAGTGATTTGTAAGTTAGTAATATGTTAAAATATTTATAAGTTGAATATGGAGCTTGCTTTAATCTTATTGTATTGTTTTGGTACTTGTTTAGTTAAAAAATATTGAAATCTGTATAATGTATTATTATATGCCTTCCAATACATTATATTGTTAGTTGATTATAATTTTTGTTATTATTGTTGTTATGATTATTGTTATTGGTATATAAGCTTTTGTTAAAAAAACTAGTTGAGAACAAGTTTAGATAGGTTTGGTTTTGTTATTGAAAGAGTAAAAAAAAATTTGATTGGTTATTGGTTATATATTGATCTTTTGATGAAATAGAACTGAATACGGTTTTTAAATTAGTTGAAAAAATTTTTTGAAGTGGTGATAAGTAAAAAAGTGAAATATAATATTATTTTGATAGGAAAAGAGAAAAAAAGAAAATAAAGAATTTGTAAAAGTTATGTTAAGACAAACATTAGATCCAGTAACTATGTTTGAATATATAATTGAATATATTGTTGTAGTGTAACATGGCAAGTCTGTCGCTTTGATCTGACCTATGCCGTGTAATGTTCGTCAAATCATCTTTTTACGAAGTAGGCATATATGTTTTTGGTCATGTATATATTGTTGATCTGTTAATTTATTATAGTCATATTGAATGACCAACCCTTTTCTCAATTGCTTTACTTGTTACTTTTATACTTCTTTGCTATATACTTGATATACTAGATGTACTGAATATACTTGATATATTTGATATACTTGATATACTTGATATACCTGATATACCTAATATATCTAATATACCTGATATACCTGATATACTTAATATACTTATTATATCAAATAGATCTAATTATCTTTTCCTTATTTATCTATCTTTTTGTATTACTATTTTTACCTTTAATAATATATTTGTGAAATAGAGAAAAATAGAAGAAAAAAAAATAATTATAATAATTATATAAAAGAAAAGATTTTAAAGACAAAAATTATAAAGAAAAAATATTATGAGTTTTTTCCTATGCAACCAAGAGCTAAGAAAGACTTCCAACTTGCTTAAGTTTTGACCAAAAGTTTTATTCCACTCTAATAGTATTCCTTAAATCTTTATGTTCTTTTGTTTAAAGCTTATTTGTCTTAAGAAAATAAAGAAAGAGAAATGTTTCTTGAAAAAAAAAGAAAATTTTTAAAAAATCAGCAGTAAACAAGTAATAGTTTTTTTTTTGACTTTATAAATAAAATTTTTTTATATTTATTTATAAAAATATAAAAAGTTTATTTTTTTTAAAAAAAAATTAAATAATTAAATAATAATATTATATTATAAAAAAATAAAAAATTTTGAAATATCTGTTTTTTAAATTAATTAGAAATTTAATAAAAATTAAATTAATACTGTTATAAAAAAAAAGTGATAGATAGATTATAGAAAATTATAAGAATAAGTATAAAAGTAAGTATATTAAATATAATATACAATATATAAAAAGGAAATAGATAAGATAGATTTTGATAACAAGTTATATTTGCACAATAAAGATTGTCTTTCTTAATAAACTTCAGTTGAATGAGAAGAACCTCAATATTGTGTAATAAAAAGTATTACTACATATAAAGTAACTAGTTAAAATGTAAAGTGACAAACTGATCTGCATTGGTATTATAGACTTTAGTCAAATTCATATGCCTCTTTTAAGAAAAAAACTCTCTTAAGAATTACACAGTATGAATCAGATTAAAGTGACTAACTTGTTGCAATTTTCTTGTAACAATATATATAATATATTATAAAAAAAACAGCAATTATATTTTTATTTATAATTTAATAAAAGTTATTTGAAAAATAATAATAAATTTAAACATAATTAAATTAATATTTATAAAAGAATTTTATTTAACATTATTTATTAATTATTTGATTTTTTGATTTGATTTTTAATTTTTAATAAAAATTTTATATTGAAGTTTTTAATTTATATTTATAATAGTAGCAATAATATTATCAATTTTATTTTTTTAAAAATTGTATTTTCAAATCTTTTTTTTGATATATTAATATTAAAATTAATTGAAAATATAAGTTTATTATATTTTTTAAAATAAAAAAATTTTTAATATCAAAATGTAATATATAATTTGGCTTGTAAAATATTATATTTTTATTAAGAATTTTTAGAAATCTAGATATAAAAAAAATCAAGAAACTTAAAAAAATTATTGAATTTCTAATAAATTATTTAACCTTTAATAGAACTGAAAATTTAAAACAAAAAGATAATTTAATTAACTTTGTATAAAAAATCATCTTGAAAAGATTATTATAAAAAAAAATTGCAACAAATAAAAAAAAATTTTTTTTAAACATAAAAAAGTATTAGATACAAACTTTATTAAATATGTATAAATTGATACATAAATTATTATTATTATTATTATTAGTTTCTAATCAGACTACAAATGAAACCATTTATTACTTCAATTTTGGAAAACAGTAATACAATATAAATACTATACTAAAGCTAAACTAATACAATTTTGTAAAACACTTATTAATAAGTTTAGATTTGTATGTGATTCTTAAATCCTTAACATCAAGACTACTGTATTGCCCATATGATTTAGCTATTCACTAACTATCTCATTATAAGAAAGTAGATTTATTAAGCTATTATTATATAATATTAACTATCTTAGACTTTTTAAATTTAAACTCTTTAGATGTGATTATAGGAAATAATAAAAGTTACACCTTTTTAAGACTAGGCATCAAAGACTATATTTTGAAAGATCTCAGCCAGCCTATATTGAGACTGTTACCTCACACGAACCTGTGGTCCTAAGAGATAAAAAAATTTTATTTTTAAGAAAAAAAAGAAAAATAAAAAAGTAGTTAAAAAGTTTGTTTTAGTAAATAAAAACCCTTCAATATCAATCTTGATCTATTAGAATAAATCCTTTACCACCATCTGCAACTAGGCAAATCATTTAATTTCCATTATTCCATTGCTGACCAAGAATGTTCAAGGTACTTATAATAAGTCTTATA